ACATAAATGACAAAATTAAAAATGGGCAAATGATCTGAATAGACATTTCTCCAAAGAAGATATACAAATGGCCAACAAGCACATAAAAAGTTGATCGACATCATTAGCCATCAGGGAAATGTAAATCAAAATAATAATGAGATGCCACTTCACACCCATTAGGATAGCTCTACTAAAAAAAATAATAAGCATTGATAAAGATGTGGTGAAATTAGAACTCTCATATATTGCTGCTGGAAATGTACAATAATTAAGCCATTTTGGTTAATTTCTCAAAAGCTCCTCAAAAGGTAAAACACAAAATTATATGATCTAGTAATTCCATTCCTATTGATATTCTCAAGAGAAATGTAACACATGTCCACACAAAAACTTGTACATGAATGTTCATAGCTCATCATCTGTATTAGCCGAAAAGTAAAACAACCCAAATATCTATCAACTGATAAACAAAATGTAGTATATCCATACAATGGAATATTATTTGGCAATAAAAAGGAATAACATATAATACGTGTATACACTACAACATGGATGAACCTCAAAAACGTGCTAAGTGAAAAGAAAGCAGTCACGAGACCACATATTGTATGATTCCATTTACATGAAATGTTAGGATAGGCAAAATGATTGCCTACAGTAGGGAGGATTGAGGGAAAGTGTGAAGTGACTGCTCATGGGTGTGAGGTTTCTTTTTGGGGTGATGAAAATGTTTTAATGTTGATTAAGGTGATGGCTATATAACTCTTTGACTATACTGAAAACCACTGAATTGTACACTTTCAATGGATGAATTGTATAGTATGTAAACTATATCTCAGTAAAGCTGGTACAAAGAAATACATACAGCTCAAAATGTGAGGACTGGCAGGAGGGCACATGTGAAGAGACTTTGCCTCAGACATTTGCATTACTTGAATACTTGAACGACTGCCACAGATCACCTCCATTGCAGAGACTACTGAAACAGAAATAAATGGTCCCTATAGTGACTTGGTTCTTTCTAAAATATAAATTTATATAATACATACTGTTTTCTTTTAAGAATCCTATAGGTAGTTTTTAGCCAAAAGTATCTAGACTAAGAGTTAGCTATAAAATTTCTCTAGGCTTAAATAGTCTTATTTTAAAATCAATTGTCTAGCTGTGAATAGGGAACAATATCTAGTAGTGGTAAGAGTAACAATTATCAGAATTAGCCTCATGATACAGCTGCGAACAAAATTCCTAAGATGTGTCAGACACAGTGATAGAATGACATACAACATCTCTAGTCATCTCAACAATCATACAGTGAAGATGAGAAAATCGGAATTCAGAGACACTGAGTGACTGCCTATTCAGGGATTAGAGAGCACAGCAAGATCTGAACTTAAGACTATGTGTCTCTAAGACCAATGATCTTACTTACATCATACTACCTTCAAGAAGAAATAAAGCTTCCCACCAGACAATAATAATAGAAGAGACTGACCACAAATATGTCCTAATATTAAATTTCAAAATTTCAAAGCTTAAAGGAACCTCAGAGAACATCCATCCAAGTACCTCACTTTACAAAAGAGACAACACCATCTGCAATGTCTCATCAGCCGTGGTTATTTCAACTCCTCTCTGGCCTCCAACGTACTATTACGCTATCTGCAAGTCTTTCCTAATAGCCTCAGCATAAACCAAAGGGGGAATCCTAGGAGAGCTAAGGTTCAGAAAGTCATGGATGTGCTGAATAAACTTCCCCAAATTCATCTTTTTAGACTGTAATAACAATAAAAAATAAATGTTCCTTTTACTTGCCTCGTACACAGAATACTGGTCACACAGAATTTGTAATACTGATTCATTGCTACTTGGAAGTCTTACCTTTGTGGCCACGAGAAACATGGTAAAGAGGAACATAAGATTATGCCTTGATATTGCCAGGTGCTTGGTGTGCTGAAACGTGAAGATAATTGACCCCAGGAGAGTTACCTTGGCAGGGCTGAAAATAAAACACACTTTAAGTTAGTAAATAATACACATGATCTATGTCTATATTTCTCAGACAGGACTCTGCAAAATACTAATTTAATGAGTTATTCATAGACATAACACAAAAATTAATTCTATGAATATACTCGTACTTACAAAGTTTTGGAAATGCTAAGTCATAAAATTAAATGCCTTTCTTAATAGCATGAAGTATCAAGAGATTTTAGAATATTCTACACACTGTGACGCTCTGATAAACACAGTACATTTCTATATGCCATATTTCTGAAATGTATTTGACCACATAACACCTTTTCACAAAGGATCTGGAAGTCCCATGTTCCACAGCACAGTTTGGGAAACGCAGGTTATTCCTGAAAACCTTACAATGCTAAACAGGCTCTAGGGTGGGGTGGAGGAAGGAAAAGAAAGCCCTGACTCGTAACATTTCCTAGTCACTGTGTAAATACTCCCATCATCACCAACTTCAGGCTGTGTGTACAATGAAGAGATACACACAATTGGCTCTTACAAAACAGTCAACTCCAGTACATTACTTAGCTAACTTCAGCACAGAATATTAGCATTGGCTAATATCTTAATAAATTAATGCTGAATGTTTAACGTCTATAATATGATGTTAATCTACAAATAAGAAGCACTACTGTGTTGTATGAAAGGAGAGAAGGTTAGCACTCCCCATCACAAGGATGGAAGAGGCCCTCGGGCCTAACAACATGCATACAGTTAAGACATTGCCACCTACTTCTTGGCATCTAACCATTGTTTTTTGGAATTGTAACAGCTATATACGATGTCAGATGGGTAGTAGATTAGGGGAGGAGGGTTAGCACTTTGTGAGGGGTATAAATGTCTAACTATTACATTGTTTTGTACACATGAAACTTTAAAAAAAAACCACTACTTTCATGTCATATAGTTGCCACATTTAAAATATATCTCAGTACTGCTTCCGTCGGACCCTGAGCCGTCTGCGAGCTTCTGATTGTCGCTCAGGGTTCTTTCAGATCAGTGCAAGGGTCTTCGTCGCTGCCAGTGGAACTGGAATTGGGCGAGGAGGAACAGGCACGGAAAGGAGAAAGGTCTGCGTGTCTGTTCTCAGCACTCGGCTAGCCTAGAAAAGGAGGACGAAGCTATCCAGAAATCCTACAGGATAGGAAAAGGAGGGGCCATCTCAACATGGAAAAACTCTGCAATGAAAATGAAGCAGTGCCTGAGAAGCAAGTAAAGATGGAAA